TGAATTATTGGGCCATTTTGGTTCGTGCTGTAGTGTCTATGGTGCTTGGAGTGTTCGTATAAAGGAGCTTTTTCCACCACCCACTTTAATACAGTCTAGAAACATCTTTGAAAAGATGTAAAAAAATAAATGTAAAGTAAAAGACTCCCTTCTGAAGGTCCGTAGTTTGCTGAAAATCTGCAGCTTCCTCAGAGACCAGGAGGTATCTGATGTCTCTGAGTCAATGTCGCTCCTCCCATTGTTTTCAGTGGAAGCGTTGGAATATTCCATAAACACCCTTCTAATTGGCAAGGCGAGATATATTCCAGGATCTATGTCATAGCTCATTGCTCCTACCTTTTACAGCTGGCTATATTCTGAAAATTGACAGAGGAGGGAAAGCAGTGCCCAGTCTTCTGTGACTTTAATACGGGAAAATGAAGTGGTATTATCTACCTGGGTTGGTTATGTTTCTACTTGGAAGAGATAATTATATTCATGAAGCATTACAGTAAGGATCAGTTTAGAGTTTTATACCTTAAAATAAAAAAAAATACATTTTTTTTCCCAGGTAAAAGGCTTCAAACTTTTAGTCTTAAAGGAGCACTACAGTGGTTATGGTGCCAGTCATGCCCAGGTGTCACCCTAATTGAAGTAGTCAAACTGTTTTAGAATGGATTCACGTTTTACCTGGGAGCCACAATCATTACTGATACTATAACCACTACAGTGAGTTGCAGTGGTTACGGTGCTTAGAGTGTCCCTTTGTGTGGATTTAATAGAGCACTCTCAGTAACACAACCAAGAGAGCTCAATGCTGAGCTGCTACAAGAGCTCTCAGTCAATCATTCCCGTCCATGTTGGATGGAGATGATATTATAGACTCTAGCCTATGTCACGTGTGCCGGAGTGTAACTTGTCTCAGACTCCTACCACGATGAACACTTCTAAACACATAAATTGTCATGGTGGTTAAAGTAACACTTTAATGTTGATACAACGTTGACAGATCCACAATGTTAACCAGGACAGATATAAATTTTACATGCGAATGTGCAGCACATGAAAAGTGGTGCCCTGAAGAACATAGAATTTGTAGGATGCTGTAACAATATCACTTAGGTTACCATGGAGGAATCCCAAGGGAATCGCTTTAATTCAAAGATTTAGCTCGTGGCGCATGTAAATGTGACATTCTTCAGCTGCTTACCAAAACAGGGTAAATTTTGGGGAATCTCTCTGAATGTGCTCATCCGATTTTGAACAATCTGATTCTAGTAAAAAACATATATATATATATTTATATATATAATCGTCAGAAATCCCACAAGGATTTAGATATTTTTTCAAAAACGGAAAATGACTGATTTAATTCCAATATGTTGCAGTAGGGGGCACAGTCTCAAAGAAATCTTTTTTGCAGGTGAAACTCTAAAAATGGGTTCACTCATTGTTTAAATATTCAGCGAGCTCTAAAAGAATTAAATTAATAAACTGAAACCAATAGGGGCTCTGTACATTCCATTAAAAAGCGGGGGTTAGGAGATTCATTTAAACGTAGGCAGCATTGCAAAGGTTAATACGAGGGTGTAAGGCACTCTGCCATTAACCCTCACACCACCATTTGTGTTTTCCTATTTAACTATTCCTTTCTGTGCTGCATGCTGATTGGCTCCTATTCATTAATTGCGTTGTCAATCAAAGGTGTCAATCACTTTGGGTTTATAAGAGCGCTTCTATTTGATAACTTTCATAAGGTACTAACAACAAATTGGGAACTGAATTCCAGCAACCAGTCCCAAACTGCAGCATTTAAAACCGTCCTGTTAGGTTAAAATGTGAGGTAAATTGACTGGCATTTATAAGCAGTCTGCCTAAAATCAGAGATATTAGATAAATGTTGAGATTACAGTCAGGATATTCTCCTCAGAATATATCTGGATAGCCCTGAACACTCTTCAGAATATTGGCTAGGTCAGGGGTGCCCAAAAGGTAGATCCCCAGATGTTGTATAACTACAACTCCCATGGTGCTTTGCATTCCTTTAGAATGTCACAGCATCATGGAAACTGTAGTTTTAAAACATCTGGGGATCCATCTACCTTTTGGGCTCCCCTGGGCTAGGTTATGTTTGGATATTAATTAATCTCCCTGTTTTACTTTTATATATATTCCCCTTCCTAATTATTTGACTGAAGGAGTTACTCATTAAATTGGAAACTCTTGAAAATAACAGGAGAATTATACAAAATATGCCAAATAAAAGCTGAGGATAATCCACTAAACCATTAATTGCAGACAATTCTAATCCAAATTTCAGTCTGTAATTGTCAAGCTGTAACTATTGCTCATAATAATTTATTCATATCCGCGACATGCTTCTCAATATTTCAAATGGACAAAGAGGGACACTAATTTTAGGGGTGGGAATGTGGGTGTGGCCAGTTCTGAAAATTTTTAGGTGACTTACTATTAACAATTAATGCAACTAAAATGTACCGGTAATTTACAAAAACAATGTATCTATTTTATTCAGACTGATTTCTAAACACATTTATTGTAGTTTAAAGACACATTACTGGGAGTATTATTGCTGTGGAGCTCTGTTATACATTCAGACACATTACTGGGAGTATTATTGCTGTGGAGCTCTGTTATACACTCAGACACGTTACTGGGAGTATTATTGCTGTGGAGCTCTGTTATACACTCAGACACGTTACTGGGAGTATTATTGCTGTGGAGCTCTGTTATACAGACACGTTACTGGGAGTATTATTGCTGTGGGGCTGTTATACACTCAGACATTACTGGGAGTATTATTGCTGTGGAGCTCTGTTATACACTCAGACACACTTTACTGGGAGTATTATTGCTGTGGAGCTCTGTTATACACTCAGACACGTTACTGGGAGTATTATTGCTGTGGAGCTGAGTTATACACTCAGACACGCTACTGGGAGTATTATTGCTGTGGAGCTGAGTTATACACTCAGACACGCTACTGGGAGTATTATTGCTGTGGAGCTGAGTTATACACTCAGACACATTACTGGGAGTATTATTGCTGTGGAGCTGAGTTATACACTCAGACACGTTACTGGGAGTATACTCAGTCACACATTGGGAGTATTACACTCGGGCTCTGTGGGAGTGTTATTGCTGCGGGGCTCTGTGATACACTCAGACACATTACTGGGAGTGTTATTGCTGCGGAGCTCTGTTATACACTCAGACACATTACTGGGAGTGTTATTGCTGTGGGGCTCTGTTATACACTCAGACACATTACTGGGAGTATTATTGCTGTGGAGCTCTGTTATACACTCAGACACATTACTGGGAGTATTATTGCTGTGGAGCTCTGTTACACACTCAGACACATTACTGGGAGTGTTATTACTGTGGAGCTCTGTTACACACTCAGACACATTACTGGGAGTATTATTGCTGTGGAGCTCTGTTACACACTCAGACACATTACTGGGAGTATTATTGCTGTGGAGCTCTGTTATACACTCAGACACGTTACTGGGAGTATTATTGCTGTGGAGCTCTGTTAGACAGAGGGCTTGAAAACAGGAAATGCCCCTCCAAAATAGGGACACTTTCTAGGTGCGCAGTTATATTTGCTCAAGTATTGTCATTTGGTTTAGTAAAACAACGGATCGAAATGTAACCCTTTGGTGTAAAATGTGCAAGCCCCCTCTCAGTTCTTTGCAATTCCCCATAATAAGCAGCAGCGAATGATAAAGAATACCTCTCCACTTACTCATTTATACGCACGTTAATTTAAACAGAAACATGTATAATAAAGCAGCTGGTTTATTAGAAAAAGCACATATTTCTTCTCTCCCATTCACCAACCACTCTGGTGGCCCCTCGGTGAGAGAGCTGGAATGTGCCATCTCCCACACATCTACTACTCCCTTCATATACTGCATACCTAGCTTGATACATATCCTACAGATCTGCACTGTATCACACTCATTACTATTAGAATTACAAACTGTGACATGTACTGAAGCCCAGTCAGTGCGTGATGTTTTCACAGCCATCCTCCACACACTCGATTTGTGCATTCTTGCTGCGTGTTCGTATTAATCTATCATTGTTGTTTTCAATGTTTATTATTACATCATCAAGTGATGGGAGACCCCTTTTGTGTTTCTGATCCCCTCTTTTGAATGTCTTAACCACTTTAGCATATCTTATCCCTATATTGTTTCTTAAGGCCCCCTTGTGTGTCTCTTATCCCCCCAGCTCATTTGTGTCTCTTTCTCTTCCCCCAGGTCGCTTTGTGCGTCTCTTTCTCTTCTCCCTAGCCCCTTTGTGTGTCTCTTTCTCTTCTCCCCAGCCCCTTTGTGTGTCTCTTCCCATTAGCCCCTTTGTGTGTCTCTTTCCCTCCCCCAGACCCTTTGTATGTCTTTCTCACCCCCCAGCCCCTTTGTGTACCTGTTACTCCCCTCCCCTTGCATGCCAGCTTAGCCCTTGTTGTAACATGGCAGAGGGTATTTTTTGTCTTCTACTCAGTCTGACAGATTGCTGCTTGATGCTCTCAGCAGGTAGAGTATAAATAAGATTCTTTGCCACAGTCCGAGAGGCCATGCTGCATGTTCCTTCCTACTAGTGCATACAGTGTGCTTGTGACATATGCACAAATATGTAAAATCTTCGCCTTTGCTGTGTCAGAGACAGGTAGTGAGGAGTCCCCTCTTGCTGCTGGATTAGAGGTAATCTCTATATCAGGAAATGGGACATGGGTGGAAATCTACCATGTTTTAAATTTTTATTATTATTATTGTTTATATTATTTATAAAGCACCAACAAATTCAGCCGTGCTGTACAATGGATGGACTATCAGAAAAGTATTTGCAACAAGACAAGTTGAACATCCAGGAACAGACGGTGTCGAGGGCATATCCATCACTATATTACTCCTTGTAATATACTGAATGCCCCCCTGCTGAACTGTTAACTTGTCAAGTGCCAGCACTCCCGTTGGACCAATTAGGCAGGCGCCTAAGGTGCTTTTTAAGAGGGGGTACCCCCAATAGTGGGACCGCCTACACAGCAATTATACCGCAGATCTCTCACTCTCCTTGCATCCAGGCACACTCCAAGTCCGACCAACAAGACTTCAGGAGAGCATGGAAGCGCAAGGGCCCAGTATCCACATACTTTTGACTGTGGTGCCTTATGTGCCCCCCTATATATTGCTCAAAGAGTTGCCACAGGTTTAGGGCCCTGCTATAATTAGCTAAAATAAATGTATTTATTTACAATGATGGTCTGTTCCTTTATTTAACTCAATATACAGAGCATCAAAATGTGGTAGAAAATAGTGTGCAAACTGCTCGTAGCAATATCTATCTACAGACAGAGTATACACAACTCTAGACAGTTAATGTTTTTCTGTTTTCATACTAAATTTTGCATTTTGTATAAATATTTTGCTGAACTACTCAATTCATTATATTCCTATATCATGTTGTTGGGTATTAAGATTTGTACATTTATACAAAAAAACTGTTTGATTTTTTTTATCTCAACACTAACATGATAAAAAAAAGGCGTTTTACTTCAAACCAGTCTTTATTATATATTGCACTTGTCAAACAATCATACTGTCCAACAAAAGATAGCAAAACAAACAGAAAATGCAGAAAAAAAGGATGTGGGAAAACGAGAAAGATTACAAAGACAAAACTTTGTGTGAGTAAGGTGTGGAAACTGCCAAATCTGCCGTGTCTTGAGTTTAGTAGTAAAGTTAACAAAGTAAAATTCGAACCGGGCTATTTACTAAAGCCCGAATGGCCCAGTGGGGCGAAACCATCTGGTTGCACATTGGGCCTGAAAAATCTGAACATTGTTGATGGAATTCATGAATGTCTGGATTTTCTAAATCAGGCTCCGAACGGCCTGAATTTTCTTTCTGATTTCAGTCGGGCTGAATTCCACCGGATGGCTGAAATCTGTGCCAAAGCAGCCCAGCGGGCAAATAGATCAAAACTCTTGCTGGTGCGAGGGTTATATATGTAATGGTGGTCAGAGCTTGCTAGTCAGTAGCCACATTAAACAAGTAAAAAATAATCAATGAAAATCCTATGGGGGGGGGAGGGGGGAGGGGTCATTTCTGTATTGGAGATAACGTACTTCTACTAAACTTTAAAAACTAGCAACTGGGCAGCCATTGCCGCCTCCCCATCCCCCTAACCGAGGGCACTTGCCGGGAAGGCTTTCCGTCTTATTACAGCTACTGCAAAGCGTTAGAAAATGTCCCACCATTGAGAGAACAAGAGTTCTATCATAGGCTGGCTAATAAACCAACCAATCAGGGCGCTTTGAGAGACAAGTCTAACTTCTATTTTATAATTAATTAGGATCCCTACCCGCCATTATCAGTGGGGCCTGTGGAAGGGGACAATAAGCAATAGGTACCCTCCCTCCTGTTTTATAAATATTAGGACCCCCATCTGCTGGCATGGGGGTTAGGGGAGAGGACAATAGCCCCCTCCTTAAAATTTAAAGTACCCCCCTCCTTTTTCTCGTGTCCACTATATTATTTCTCAGGCCCATCCCTATGTAGCAATGGCTGCTCTTCCCGCCAAGCCGCTACTTTTTAATGTTTAGTACACATGTGCCCAACTGCTATATGGCACGTGGAGGTATATGGAGGTACATTAACTCCATTATAGTAAGTTGAGGGTCTTATTAACCCCTTAGGAATTTTATTTGTACTTTTTTCATGCAGTGGAAATTTTTTTTTATTTTTTTTACCATTTGCTAGTGCTGCCACTTTATGACCTATGATTGATTGCTATTACTGGACATACCTTCAGTGATTTGCAGTTTTTATTGTAGAATATGAGTGTGCAGCTTGTATTCCAGTACATTATGAATTTGTGGAGAATGTTCATTATTTTATATACTGATGGATGTTTTTTGGTCTCAAAACTACATAATATGGATTTACAGCGTTTTTCCTTGAAGTATGGATTATCAGCAAATCTTAGGTCAAAAATGAGAAATTTGTGGCTGGCTGATGGTTGTGGGAACTGGAAGGTAGAAAAATCGACTTCTAGTTGAGCGGGGCTCAGGGGAAAGGATTGCTCTCCGGAGTGGCAGAGAGAAGGTTTGGACATCATAACAGGGTCAGGTCTGGATCCAAGGCAGGAACCTGGGAACTGTCCTTTCATTACTGGTTAAAAGAATTACTCCATTCACCATAACAACTTCTGCTTTTAGAAGTGGTCGTGGTGGTAGGAATCTGTATGTGCAGTGTTTCTGCTTGAATGCATACAGAGATATTTGCACTTTTGTGATGGGGCTAGTTACATGCCCAGCCTGTAGCTCTGTTCCAGGTTGCCTAATTTAAATTCTGCGCATATTTTACGTCTGTCGTCAGGGAGCAAGCATGCTGACGAAAGACTTACTAAGCTTTTCCCCTTACAGGCACGCTCCCAGCATCAAAGTCCCCTCCCTTCCTTGTTTGAGCCGCCCTCCTTTACTCAACAATAATTTGTTATTGCGTTTTGAGATGGTTAAACGGTCCAATCAAATGCTTCTCTATGAAAAAAGTTTTACTGGACCTTGCAACAGCTGTTTTAAAGTCAGAAGGGAAGTAAAAGCACAGCATGCAAAGCTTCACCCTGTGCTGGTTTTGTTTATTGCTTGATTTAAAATTTTTCTAGTAAATATTTGGGGGGGAGGGGTGGAAATACCTAATTACAGACGCCCAAAAAAATCCCATGTATTAAAAAGGGTTGGAGTATACCTTTAATTTAGTGGTTAGATTGTACTATTTTCTTTCCTGTAGCCCAGCTGTATTATACATTAAATGTTCACTGCAGAACTTACTGGACTTTTAAAATAAAAAGCGGCAAATACTTTTCAAGGCTCTTAAAGGAACACTCCAAGCACCATTACCACTACAGCAACATTTTCATCATATAAAATAAGTATATTTGGCAGACTGGACAGTAGGTGGCGCTGTAACAAGTCTATATATAATTCTACTAGAAAGTACTCTGCTCTCTTCTGTTCCATTTTGGTGCCTGCTTTTAAAAGTAAATGTTAATACTCTGCATTCATTTAAATCCTGCAAGGTTTAGTGAACAAACTTGGAAAATCACATAGGGAACAAGTTTGGTTCCTCTTTAAACACATAGTTTACACCGGTTTGCTGGTTTGACTTTGAACATAATCTGTGATCTACCTTCCAGAACAGGGGTAGGCAAGCTTTGGCATTCCATATGTTGAAGACAGTGGCGTACATACGACGGTCGCAGGGGTCGCAGCTGCAATCGAGCCAGTCACTCCAGGTGTCCGTGGACTGCCGGCATACCTTCAGGGCCGGTGCACAGCAGCAATGTCCTGGGGGCTGCTTGCTGGGTGATCGGCAGGAGGGGAGGCTGTGCCGCCTCCGCTCCTGCCGCTGTGTAGTGTGGCTGAGCGGATCGGTCTGACAGGAAGTACTTACTGACAGAGCGCTTCCTGTCAGACCGGGTACCGCGGTGAGCAGGTAGAAGAAGGGAGGGTTGAGAGACACATGGAGGGGCTGGGGGGTGGGGAGGGAGGTGAGGAAGGACTGGGACACGTGGAGAAGCTGGTGGGGTGGGGGAGAATGAGGAAACATGGGGCCAGGATGAAGGAGGGAGTGGGACACATGGAGGGGAGTGGGACACATGGAGGGGCTAGAGGGGAAGGAAGGAGTGGGACACCTGGAGAGATGGAGGGCAGGGAGGCACATGGAGAGGCTGGAGGGGAGTGGGACACATGAAGGGCTGGGGGGAAGGAAGGAGGACACTTAGAGAGAGGGGAAGAGGGAGTGGGACACATGGAGAGATGAGGGGGAGAGGGAGGGGACACATGGAGGAGCCGGAGGGACACATGGAGGGCTGGAGGAAGGAAGGAGGGACACTTGAGAGATGGGGAGGAGGGACACATGGAGGGGCTGGAGGGGTGGGACACTTGGAGAAGGACTGGGACACGTGGAGAAGCTGGGTGGGGGAGAATGAGGAAACATGGGGCCAGGATGAAGGAGGGAGTGGGACACATGGAGGGGAGTGGGACACATGGAGGGCTGGGGAAGTCAGGAGTGGGACACTTGGAGAAATGGGGGGAGAGGGAGGGACACATGGAGGGGCTGGAGGGAGTAGGAGACATGGAGGGGCTGGGGGAAGGAAGGAGTGGGACACTTGGAGAGGGGGAGAGGGAGGGGACACATGGAGGGGCTGGGGGAAGGAAGGAGGGGACACTTGGAGAGGGGGAGAGGAGGGGACACATGGAGGGGCTGGAAGGGAGTGGGACCCATAGGGGCTGGGGGGAAGGAAGGAGTGGGACACTTGGAGAGGTGGGGGGGAAGAGGTAGTAGGACAAATGGAGAGGGTGGGGGGAGGGCAAAGGTTGTCTACCCCTGCTCCTGTATATACACCCACTATTAAGATTGGATAACAAGGTATACTGCAATAAAGGCGGACATTTTTTGTACTCCTGCAGTTCAGGCCTTTCTCATAATAAATGATTGTAAGGTAAAACAATAGAAGTCTAGGTACAAGCAGAGAATTATCACCTAACGGATGATCCTTTTCCCCCCTAGGTATCCAACCAAAGGGTTAATAACCTTTGACCTCCAGAAATCACTAACTTGTTATATATAAGCTTTTATTGCTCAATCGCGTTGTTTCTTTGTGTCGGTGACAGTATCTCTGTCCTTGCATTTCCCATGCGCATATCTCCAAATCTGTCTGTCTAAACATTGCCAGGAGTATTGATTCAAAGCTGGGTGCTAAAACAACCCTAGTGGTGTTAGTATAGTGGATTAAACTGTCGGAATGCTGTGTAAGTATCGCACTGGGTATTATCAGACAGCACACATATTTAACCCCATCACTCATGCCAACAAGAATCCTACTGGCTAGAAGCCAAACCTAGTTTTCATTAAAAACACATTTTGCTGAAACAGAATGTGCACAGGATAATTGCATGTATTCATTCATTTACACACTGTATGGCGTGCTGTTGTATGCTCATTCCCAACCGAAACCCTTGCTTTGCCTATAGCCTTTCAGGTGCCAGCTTATAGTGCCAGGAAACTGCTATGTTTCTAGAAAAAAGGGTTAAACCTAGCTGGACCTGGCACCCAGACCACTTCATTAAAGGACCACTCTAGGCACCCAGACCACTTCAGCTTAATGAAGTGGTCTGGGTGCCAGGTCCTTCTAGG